AGCATCTACCTGGGCCTGTCCTGCTTGGCCCTGAGAAGACATATAAATCATAAACACACGGGCACACTCACATGGCAGGAGAAGATGCCAGTCTAAGTCTCTTACCTTAATGTAGTTGATGAATTCTGTCAGAAAGCTATGGGACTAGAGGGAAGAGAAATCAGGGTGAGTACCTGCCTGGCTGGAGTCACAAGACTCTGAGCCTGGCCAACTATTTATATTCCCTATTCACTTGCGTGCTACCTGTCTGCATTTCCACCCCATCACCTGCTTACAGGAACAGCAGAACCTCCCAGAATGAGGGATGGCCAGGACATCATTCTCTGTTGAGGATAAAAACCTGCTTGCAAGGGCACCCAATCTACTTCTCCATATCCCACCAGGAGCATCAGAAATGGAGTGGCAAGCTTTGGGCCCGACACATTCTACCCTTGAGGCACAGGTTTCCCAGGGGTGGTGAGCCCACCTGCTCCTCAGTCATGGTTTCGCTCACACCCTCCTCTTCTATCACAAAGGCTTCCTTCAGTTTCAGGTACTCTTCGTGCTCCCGCCGGGCCTGCTCCTCCCGGGCCTTTCTTTCCTCCTCCTCCTGTGGAAAACAAAGGAAAAAGAGTCAGGTATTTGGGACAGCTGCCCACTCATAATTGTTCTGGTCCCTGCTGTCTCTGAAGGACATGAACACAAATATACAGGTTTTTCTTGGGGACAATGCTTCTTTAAGACTTCAAGACTTAGCCAAGATATACAATTGGCAGAGGCCCTTCTTGTCATGAGCTCCATTACCACCCAGACAAATGCTGCTTAGGACCTTCCCCTGCCCTTCTTGCTCAGGAGATCAACTTAGGAAAAATCTCTTGAAAACTTTGCTACCAACTTCACCCCTCCCTAGTCATGTCCAAGTATCACGAAGAAACAGCAGATTCTACTTCCTCATCATTACTTATGTACCTAGCCAGTACACTACAGTCTGCTTACCGTGTCCCCAGTTCTACCAAAACATCTCCTGCTACTGTCACACCCATGCTCTACCTCACAAATCCAAAAGGAACCCCTGTCCTCTCAGTGGTGCTGGGCATAGCCACCATCTCTCTCCTTTGCTGGCTTTTACACCGTACCTTCTTCCTCCTGCTGCTTGAGCACTCTTCCCCACATCCATTTTCAGTCCCATCCCTACATTCTCTCTGGACTACTTGACTGGGGCATCAATAACCACTTCCTTGCCAGTGACTGCCATAGCTTATTGCTGTTCAAATATCTTCTCCCAAATACATTGCTCTTCATGTGATCTACTAGCTGGCCCATCTCACAGGTATCAAACAGACCTTTTGTGATATAATCCCCACATGCCAGGTCTTCCTGTTGGGTCTCCGGCTCAGTGAATCAGTCATCAGGCCTGCTGCCCCAGTCAGAAACAAGTCCTATCTACCAATTCATTCTCCAACTTCTGCATAACTCCTCAGTCCACTCATATTACCCTTAGCATTACTACTTAGCACAAGCCTTCTCCCAGCATGGTCCATTTGTAGGACACTCACAGAAACGCTTGTAAAATAAGAAGTTAAAACAAAGACGGACAATATGAAACACCAAGACGGGCCAGGAGCATCTTACAATGACAAAGAGTGCAAACAACAATAACAACAACAACCCCCCAACCAAAACCCAAACCTTAAAACAATTAGACAATGTCAAAAGTATACAGGAGCCAAACAAAAGGGTTCCTAACAGTGAAATAAAGAATAATTTGAGCAGCATCACTCTGTTAACATGGTATGAGTCAGGCAGGCACCTCACACAATCTCAGCACTCAAGAGGCTGAGGCAGGATTACCAATATGAGCTCAAGGCTAGTCTGGGATACATAGTAAATTTTGGCATAGTTTATGCTCACAGAATGAGACCCTGTCTCAAAACAAAATAAATTAACAAAAAAGCAACCCAGGTATGGTGGCTTATACCTGTAATCACAGCATTGGGAAACTGAGGTAGAGAGGACCACCATGACTTTGAGCCCAGCCTGGGTTACATATTAACTTCTAGGCAAGCCTGGACTACAGACTATGAGCCCCTGTCTCAGAAAAAAAAAAAAAAAAAAAGAGAGACCGCCTGGTCTGCAAGACCCTAGGTTCAAGTCCCAGAACTGCAAAAACAGACCAGAGACAGCTGAGTAAACAGGGAAGAGAAATCTCATGGATAAAACATCTCTGGTTTGTGCAGGTACCCGACAGGGACACAGAGTGTGACTATTTATTTATTTGTCTTTTTTTTTTGAGATAGGGTCTCCCTGAAGCCCCAGCTGGCCTGGAACTCACTATATAGACCAGGCTGGCCTTGAACTCACAGAGATCCACCTGCCTCTGCCTCCCGAGTGCTGGGACTAAAGGTGTGCGCCACCACGCCTGGCTTGTTTTATTATTTTATTTTATTGAGATGGGAATCTCCCTGTGTAGCCCGGGCACTTACTACATGGATCAGGATGACTTTGAACTCATAGGCCTGTCTCTGCCTCCCGAGGGCTTATTTATTTTTTGTGTATGAGTATATTGTCTACATGTGTATAAGTGCACCTGTGTCGTGCAGTACCTGCAGATGTCAGAAGATGGTGTCAGCTCCCCTGCAACTGGAGTTTACAGTTGGCTGTTAGCCACCCTGTAGGTGCTGGGAATTGAACTTGGGTCCTCTGCAAGAGCAGTCAGTGCTCTTAACCACTGAGCCATCTCTCCATCCCCAGAAAATTTTCTTTAAAAATTTATTTATGGGGCTAGAGAGATGGCTCAGTGGTTAAGAACACTTACTGGTCTTGCAGAAGACCGGGGTTCAAATCCCAGCACCCACATGGCAGCTAACAACTGTCCATAACTCCAGTCCCAGGGGATCTGACAGCCTCTTCTGACTTCCACGGGCATTGCATGACATGGGTGCACTTACCTACATGCAGGCAATACACACATACACATAAAATGAAAATAATAAAAAAATTAAAAAAAAATTTATTTATTTTAGGCCAGGTGTAGTGGCACACACCAGTAATCTCAAGAGGCAGAGACAGGTGGATCTCTGTGAGTTTAAGACTAATCTGGTTTATGTAGCGAGTTCCAGGCCAGTTGGGGCTACAGGAGACCCTGTCTCAAAACAAAACAAAGAATTTCTTTATTTTATGTGTGAGTGTTTTGCCTGCATGTACATAAGCGCATCTGTGTCAAGTTATGCCTACAGAGACCAGAAGAGTTCCTTTGGAACTGGACAGTTATGGACCGTTATGGATGGTTGTTAGTTTTAATATAGATACAGGGAATTGAACTTGGGTCCTCTGTAAGAACAACCAGTACTCTTAACTGCTATGCCATCTCTCTCTAGCCCCTTAAAAATTTTTTTTAACCAGGTATGGTGGTGCATGCTTTTAATTCCAGCAGTTGGGAGGCAGAAGTAGGCAGATCTCTGGGAGAGCAAGGCCAGCCTGGTCTACATAGTGAGTTCTAGGCTAGCTGTGGTTATAGGGAGACCCTGCCTCAAAAAGACCAAAAAAAATTTTTTTATGAAAGATTTATTTTGGGCTGGAGAGATGGCTCAGCAGTTAAGAATGCTGGTTGTTCTTGCAGAAGACCCTGGTTCGATCCCCAGCACCCACAGAGCAGCTATGAACTATCCTTAACTCCAGGTCCAGGGGAATCTGAAGCCCTCTTCTAACCTCCGTGGGCACTGCATGACACGGGTGCACTTACCTACATGCAAGCAATACACGTATACACATAAAATAAAAAAATAAAAAATAAAAAAAAATTTATTTCATTTCTATGTGTGTATTAGCCTGTGTATGTGTGGATGCCCACAGAAGCCAGAAGGGGGCATCAAATGCCTTGGAGCTGGAGTTACAGATGTTTGTGAGCCACTTGATATGGGTGCTGGGATATGAACTCTGGTCCTCTGACAGAGCAGTAAGCACTGTAACTACTGAGCCATCTCTCCAGACCTAGCTCTCCACTTTTTTTAAAAAAAAACAAACAACAGGGGCTGGAGAGATGGCTCAGCAGGTTAAGAGCACTGACTGCCCTTGCAGAGGACCCAGGTTTGAGTCTCAGCACCCACATGGTGGCTATGAACTGTCCTTATCTCCAGTTCCAGGGGAATTCGAAGCCCTCTTCTAACCAGCTGGGTGTGGTGGCACGTGCCTTTCGTCCCAGCACTCGGGAGGCAGAGGCAGGTGGATCTCTGTGAGTACAAGGCCAACGTGGTGTATGTACTGAGTTCCAGGCCAGCTAGGGCTACAGGGAGACCCTATCTCAAAAAAAACAAAAAAACACAAAAAAAAGGCTGGGCATGGTGGTGCATGCCTTTAACCCCAGCACTTGAGAGGCAGAGGCAGGTGGATCTCTGTGAGTTCAAGGCTAGCCTGGTCTACATAGTGAGTTCCAGGACAGCTGGGGCTACAGGGAGACCCTGTCTCAAATAGACCAAAAAAAAAAAAAAAAACAACCCCCCCCCCCCAAATACAAAAATACACACACACACACACAAAAAACCCTCTTATAACCCCAGTCTAACCATAAGATCAGTCAGGGCCTGGAGAGATGGTTCAGTGGTTAAGAGCACTGGCTGTTCTTACAGAAGACCTAGGTTTGAATCCCAGCATCCACATGGCAGCTAACAACTGTCCCTAACTCCAGTTCCAGGGGATCCTGACACCCTCTTCCTGTGGGCACTGCACAACACAGGTGCACTTACATACATGCAGACAAAACACTCACACACATTTAAAAAAAAAAAGATAAACATCAGTCATTCTAGCACTCGGTAGAGTGCTGAGGCACAGGGATGGACTACCACAAGTTCAAGACCAGCTTGACTACAAAGTGAGTTCCAGGCTAGCCTCTATACAGTAAGACTGTCTCAAACAAAAAATAATTAAAAAAAAAAAAAATCAGTCAACTCAGGCTGGAGAGATGGCTCCGTGGTTAAGAGCACTGACTGCTCTTGCAGAGGACCCGGGTTCGAATCCCAGCACCCACATGGTGGCTGACAATTGTCTGTAACTCCAGTTCCAGGGGATCTGATGCCTTCTTTTGACCTCCTCGGGCATTGCACAACACATACAGGCATTACATTCACACACATAAAATAAAAATAAAATAAAAAAAAAATCAGTCAACTCAAATTGAGTTAGTCTAGTTAGTCTACACACTACTGTCTTAATAGCCTTTCAAAACTTTCAACAATCATCACCAGTGAAACTTCCTCATGAAACAGAGAGCAATTAACACAGAAAGTCACAACTGGCCAAAATGTAGAGAAGAGACAGAGTGTGTGTCCTTGGATAGGACTCCTATAATATACCTCTGCCACCCAGGGCTCAGGAACCATTGAAGAAGCGGGTGGAAAGCCTGTAAGAGGGGTAGTGGGTGTCCACAAGGAAACAAGAGTTTTCCAGGTAGCTGGAAATTTGCTCATGTGAACTTACAGCAATGGTGACAGCATGCACAATACTTATGCAAACTCAAACCTGGTAAAAACCCAGCAGAGAACTGGGGAAATAGGTAATAAGTCCCAACCTTAGCTGAGGGACTCTTGGCAGCTGATCACTGCTGGGTGAGGGAGGGTTGGTCTTCTTTAAGGGAGTGACACTAGATAGGCTGACCAGGCTCCAGTGGATGAATTCACACTGACGGACATCAGGGGACACAAACTTGATATGCCTTAACATATATGACAGAATTTGTAAAATCCAATGGGGGGCTACAGGTGGTACAGATATGGGAGAGGGTCTAAATATGATTAAGATGTAGTGAATGGGAGCTGGGCATGATTCTGCACGCCTTTAATCCCGGAAATTGGGAGGCAGAGGCAGGCAAAGTTCTATGAGTTCAAGGCTAGCCTGGTATCCTTAGCAAATCCAGGTCAGCTGTGGCTACAGGAAGACCCTGCCTCAAAAAGACAAAAAAAAAAAAAAAGATGTAGTGAATGGGGGCTGGAGAGATGGTTAAGACCACTGGTTGCTCTTGTAGAGGACCCAGGTTCAAATCCCAGCACCCACATGGCAGCTAACAACCATCTGTAACTCTGGTTCCAGGGAAGTCCGCCATCATCCTGAGGTCATTGTACAACACAGGTGCACTCACTGCATGTAGGCAACACATTCATACACATAAAATAAGAATAAAGAAAATATTGGCTGTTCTTGCAGAAGACCCGGGTTCGAATCCCAGCACCCATATGGCAGCTAACAACGGTCTGTAACTCCAGTTCCAGGGGATCCAATGGCCTCTTCTGTACTCTTTGGTCATTGCACTACATGGGTGCACTTATTGACTACACATGCAGGCAGTACATACACACACATAAAATAAAAGTAATAAGTTTAAAAAAAAACCATATATATATCTCAAAATTTTTGTGATGCAATAGACATTTTGAATATACTCCATTCCAGAGGATCCAACAATCTCTTCTATCCTCTGTGGGCATTGCATGACATGTGTGCACTTACCTACATGCAAGTAATATAGTCAGACATAAAAATATTTTTTAAAAAATCTTTAAAGAAAAAGATTTATTGAATGAAATACACAAAAATTCAATTAAAAATATATACTAAAAAAAAACCAGCCCTGTCATGGAGCTGGAAAGATGGCTCAGCAGTTAAGAGCATTGATTGCTCTTGCAGAGGACCAGGGTTCAATTCCCAGCATCCACATGGTGGCTACAAACTGTCCTTAACTCCAGTTCTAGGGGAATCCGAAGCCCTCTTCTGACCTCCGAGACATTGCATGACACAGGTGCACTCACATACATGCAGACAATACATTCGTACACATAAAATAAAAATAACAAATAAAGTATTAAAAAAAAAAAAACAAAACCCTGTCAACACCGTAATAAATAAGGAAAAAAAAATGACAGTCAAAGCCCAAAGAAGCCTAAGACGTGACAAGTAAATGGATCAGGGACTGTAGCTCAGTTGGCAGGGTGCCTGCCCCAGAATGCATACAGCCCTGGGTTAAATCCCCAGCTAAACTAGGTGTGGTGGTACATGCCTGTAATCCCAGCATGAGGGAGGTGGATACTGGGAGAACCTGTTTCAAAAAGTTCAAGATCATTGGCTACATAGTAAGTTCAAGACTAGCCTGCTGCCTCAAAGAAACCCACAGAAAAAAAGAAATCTGAATAAAGTGTAACATTTAGTTAATAAGGATTTATTAATACTGTCAGAAATGTATCAGCACAGGACTCTGCTAAGAATAGGGAAAATCAGGGTCAGGAAAAAGAGCCAGAATACTGAAGATACATTAGTCATGATCACTATTCAGAAAGGTGAAGAACTTTCTCAGTTCATGCCCACCCCCTAATTGCCACTCCTACAATGTCCACAGTCAGCCTTCCCATCACACAGAGGTCTAGGAAAAGTCCCAGCCAGAAGTTCTGTTTTATTTTACACACCCTACATCTTAGCACTGTTCCTTTTCGGAAACTTGGCTCCAAAAGAATGGCATACAAACATTCATTAGCC